CAAGAGGTTAGCAATATAATGTCATTTTTCATGTTATTGTAGACTTCTTTAGTATCACTAGAAAAATAAAGCAATGTTATGTCATCCGCGTATAACTTAATATTTCCTTTCAACAATAATTTTGAAACAGAATTTATGTAAACCAAAAATAGAACTGGACCCAAAAATGGCCCTTGTGGAACACCACATGTGATAGTTTTCAATTAACTGGCATTTTTCCTCAGACACACAAACTGTTTTCTGTTAGATATATAATTTTCAAACCATCTATGAATAATTCCTCGAACACCAATAGTATTCAATTTTTTCAATAAAATATGATTAACTGTATCGAATGCCTTTCGCAAATCGAGAGATAATAGACCACATTTCATATCTCTAATTGTTGTTGAATATTAGAAATGACATCCATTACTGCAGCCTCAGTATCACTCGATCTGCGAAAGCCATATTGACCTGAATATAAATAATTCATTGACTCCAAATAATCTATCTTCAAGGCGCTTTCAGAGCCGTGCCTGTGCGAAAGTAGCGATTCTCATTGAATTTGAATCGCTGGAGATCAAATCAATTTGGAATAATATTCTCGGGAAGTTTATTTCACATAAACGCAGTTCTCTAAATGAGAAAGTCCTCAAACAGTGACGTTCGACGTGTACTGAGTTGAACCTCAAGACGATGAGCAGCAACAATCCGTCGCGTATTTCTGATATGTCCCGCTTTTGGTGGAATCAATTGTGCCAAGTCACTTGAACACTTTCCGTGAAAGTAGATAGACAGATTCATTCTCAATTGATACACAAAAGTGCTTACAGTGGTCAGTTACATAAATGAATGTCATCAGATTATAAACCAATGGTTAGTTACATAAGTCAGAATAAATATCTTAAAATGTTAGTTCAACTAATACAACATATATGCACATAGACAATGAAGAAATGCATAGTTAACTGTAATAGCAATATATTTATTGGTGAGATGTGATATGCTGTGTATGGCAAATACTGTTTTTGACAATTTGCTACACAAATAGACAATTTGAGGTATCCAAGACATGTGATTATCTAAATATACACCAAGGAATTTGACACATTCAGTTTCAACACATGTATAATTAGTTGTGAAAATACAAGTTTGAGTTTTATTGTGATTCAGATACAATTCGTTGAGATCAAACCATTCTTTTGCCGTTGACATAATATTTGTAGGAATAATAAGGTTTTCATTTTTGTTATCAGAATATGTGAAGTTTGTATCATCTGCAAACAGTATTGTAGTTAAGTTGTCATATATATTGGTCATAAAATCAGGTAAATCATCTATGTAGATTAAAAATAGAAAAGGTCCCAAAATGGACCCCAGAAGAACTCCTCTTTTTGAAGTCAGTTCCTCACTGAATTTATCATCTCTGTACACAGCTTGATATCTGTTTTCTAATAAGAACATATTCCATACCTGTGAAGTTTTTCTATAAGCTTGGTATGACTTACACAGTCAAAAGCCTTAGAAAGATCGGTAAAGATTGTGATGCATTGCTTTTTATTTTCGAATACTTCATGAATGTTGTTAATGAGAGCCATAATTGCATCGGAGGTGATTTGGCCTTTCCTGAAACCGTA